CTGTTGAGTCCCTTTTACACACAGCAACAGGAACAACAGCAGCAACTGGAGACCCCGCAGCAACAGCAGCTGTTGCTGCCGTTTGGGTTAAGTTCATATTTCTGCACTCGGAATTGAAGCATCAACGGCAAGAAGTGCACAAGATGAAGTCGACAATTAATTAAAAAGTGCTAAACTTTTGACAGTTTTATGATGGTTAATTTTTAACTACCAGCGCTGTACGCTACTTAATGAGCGCCCCTCGCGGCTGTCCGAGATGGAAATGGGCAATGAAAATAAAAAAGTACAAAAAAAAAAATATACAAAATAAAAGCGCGTATACGCCACGTGGAATAGCTGGATGAAAGCTGAAAGTTTTTTGGGTGAGGCGCGCAGTTAACCTGAAAATTAAATTCGAAAATGCGCTGCAAAAGCTAAAATAATTCCTTTGCATTTCTGCTCAGGTGTATATGTGTGTGTGTGTGTGTGCATAGTTGTGTGCGTGTGTGTGTGTGTGTGCCTTTGCTCTATGTTATGCCAACGGCAACGTTTCTTGTACAGCAATTTGTGAGTTTGCTGCGCGCAGCACTCACGTAATGAGCATAAACTACAGGCACACAAAACGAAGGCATCGCACACACACACACACACACACATACACACAAAGGCAGGAAAGGTAGAGCTTCCACATAGACGTAGAGAATCGGCGCTGCCGTGCACATAATTGGTGCAAAAGTTTGAAATTATCACGGAAGCACGCCGAAACACGTACGTACATCAGCGACAACGGACGCGAGATGGCATAATACGAGCTGCGACGATGTTGTCCTGATCCCCGCCTGCCCCGCCGACCCCGCCAGCTCACCTGTCGCCCCATTCTGCCATCCGCCATCAGCCATCCGCCGCTGCTGGCCTGTGCACATTGCGGGCAACGCCCCGGACGTACGCTGGACGGGATCCGGGTATGGCCTTTAGGCGCAAAATTTATTAGAGCGTAGGCAGTACCTAATCCAGACCCTAATTACTCATGGGCTTCTAGTTTGGCGATGGCCGATGGGCGATGAGGGGGCACCGGGGGGACTGGGCCGACAATTAGCAACACCAGGTTTAGTCAAAAGTTTTATTTCGCATGAGGAGAGAGAGAGTGAGAGAGAGATAGAGAGGGTGCGAGAGGATAGCTCCACTTAATCTGAGCAAGGGGCTTACAGGTTCAATGGTCAATGGTCCGACGCTTATCTTGAAACGTAAAAATGTTTCACTTTGAGCTGAAAGCAAGAAACTTCCGCACGAACTGCGGCCAAACAATTAGCTAATGCACTGTGGAATTAGCTTCGTCTGCAGCACAGTTTAAAAAGGCGGAAAGCCGCCGTTAGCCATGCAAAACGGTTCAAGAGCGGAATGGCAACGCTCAATAATTGATTGATTTGACAGTCAACTAACGTTACGTTACGCCACATTCCGTTACGTTAATTACGTTACATTGCGTTATGTTACATTGCCCTGCATTGTACTACATTGCGGTATGGTGCGTTACGTTACGTTAGAATAGGGTAACGTTAAATTACAACACGTTAAATTACGTTACGTGAAATACCATTACGTGAAATAACGATACGTGAAATAATGTTACGTTAAATTATGTTACGATAAATTACGTTACGTCAAATTACGTTACGTTACGATGCGTTAACGCCAGCTCATTTTATTTTTAATGTATGTATGCAACATAATAGCTGTTAATAAACAGCATATACATATACATATATGTCTGTAATAGCTACCTTAATTTTACATAACTCTAGCGCCATCTCAATAACAATACATTTCATGAAATATAGTTGCTGCTAACTTCTGCTGCTTCTTTTAATTAGTCAGATGTTACGTTACATTGCCCGACGCTAGGCAATGCGCTCCTCAGCTCATTAACATTTGACAGGTCTGGGCAACACAGTTGACGTTCACGTAACAGCAGCATTCAACCATCTCCTTTGACGCCAGTTCAATAACATTACATGATGTGCAACATAGTCACTGTTAACGTAACAGCTGCTACCAATTAATTGCTCCTACCTTACGATAACAGTATGTGTTACGTTGGCTTTAGCTGTTAGCTGTTGCGTACACACACATGCACATCAATTATTTACAGTTAATTTAATTTCTTTGAAACATAGTTTTAGCAGCAAATTGGACCGAGCGAACGAGAGGGAGGGAGAGAGAGGAAGGAGAGGCGATGTAACCCTGAGCCACACACCTATTAAAATGTGCGGCCATTAAAAAGTTGTTCTATGGCCCGGGCACTTGAAAGGGGAATTTTCAGTTTTTTGCAATCTGGCACCTGTGCAAGTGCAACTGAAAATACGTTTGCATATGAATTTTTCAAATTGTTTTTTTGCGTTGACCTCGTTTACGGGTCAGAGAAGCTATGAAAAGTTTGCCGTACAAACTAAAATTGCCGCTGCAAGCGACCCAGGAGGAACGAGGTGGTCTGCAGCGTTCCGTTGCGTTGCGTTGCGTTGCGTTGGCTACGTCCACAACGTCCCCTCCCTCTGCCGGCGAGTGAAGAGGCGGAGGCGATGAGCAGCTCGCAACGGGACACGGCTTGGGTTACATAGCATATTGAAATGCGATTACAGCAACCCTGGCGGGAGCAGTAGCAGCATGTTCATTAAACATGCATAAACACACACACATACACCCACATGGCAGCAGCGGCAGCACCAGCTGTCCCCAGGCACATGTAAACAATTTAAATTTGCAGGCGATGTGCTAATTTTAAATCAATTATACGACGTGACGGCACTTTAATGCTAAACCCAATTCCACAGTCTGTACACACACACATACAATCAAGTGTTTGACAGCTGCCAGTGCTGCCCATGAACAATGGCAACTAATATCGAAATCTGTGTACAAGGCAGCAACCATGTTGGCAACATTTGGTGTGAAAACTTTCTATTTTCAGAGGGGTCGGGGCGACGGTGCAAGATTGTGGGTGCGAGCGAATATTACTTTAAAAGTTGATGCCCAAAGCGTCCTTCCATTTATTTCAACAGAAGCAAACACAAGCAGCAAACAGAGCAACAACAAGGTGACAAAAAATTACAACAAGAGTCTCAAAAAAGTTTGTGCCTTTGTTAGTGGTACATTTGGTGACACACAAATTGCAGAACTGAACTGCCGCCAGTGAATAAGAATCAGCAGCTTCTCAACTCAATTTCAGTTTGAAGCCTCACATACACACACAGAAACACCACACACTTACCTACACTGCCAGGCAGCCCAGCAGGCGAAAGCAACAGTTTTTTTCCTCCTTTTTATTTGTCTTAAATAAATACGTTTGTGTGCATGACAGTGTGTGTGAGTGTGAGGGTATGTGTGTGGCTTTCTTTATGGATGAAAGCAGTGTTGCGAGTTTAGCCTATTTCAGGCCAAATTTAGCCTATTTTAAAGTAGTGTGCAATTCATGGAGAATTCCTAGTCCCCAGGACTAGCTCTAGTCCTCAACAGAAGAAACTGCTGTCTAATATTAATTATACATATTAATGTACATAAGCTATTTAGCACGACCCTACCTGGCGTCGGGCTGAACATTTGCGCGTGATTGAGTCGTTATGTGAAAGAGAGGACTTAGTCGTTGAAAGTCTCCTTATATAAAGGGCAGCAGCCGCAGCATTTATTCAGTCGCCCAGGTCTGGTTGGGGTCAGTCGTGTAGTGCAGTGTAAGTGAAGTGAAGTGTGTGTGAAGTGATCGTGCAGCTAAACATTAAAGAGGAAATACTTAGAAGAAATACTTAGAGGTAATACTAGCCTACTTGTTACTGCAAATTAATTGTCAAACTTTTCGTAAATTTTTTTTCATTGTTCATCTAGTCCGCTAATTCAGCATTTTCCCTATATTTCCTGTTTTGGCTTCCACAATCCAACTTATTTCGGAGCTCAAAAGCTGGCAACACTGGATGAAAGTTACGCCGCCAAGTAGAATAAATATATGTATGTATGGGCATGTGTATGGGTATGTGTATATATGTATGTACGTGTGTGTACTTACAATATATGTGCATGTATGTACATAATTTAGTGAACTTGAAATTTGCGTTGGCTTCACATACATATATCTGTATATGCCTGTAAATGGGTGTGTGTGTAGTTTGCAATATTTATACAAAGTATATCGAATGTAAAAGAGCTGGCCGAATACTTGTCTTACACTTGTAACACCCTAAAAATAAGAGAACACGCCATTATATATATATTTGTAAGTATGTCTGTGCATGTATGCTAAGTAATTTATATTTGTCGGTAGGTGGGAACGTATACATACATATATACATGTGCATATAGCTTACCGGCACAGACATAAAAAGCCATACTTGTATGTATGTGGGAGTGGGAGCAGCAATACAACCGCACGCTGATGAAGGCACACTCAAACACACATATGTATGTATATATGTAGATTATTAAAGATTTAAAGTTTTTGCAGCGAGGCAAAGCAGGAAATTGATATGCACTTACCGGTCGCAGCACCTGCAGCATCAGCATCTCGAAATATAAGAATAATAAAGAAGGTGCTATCTTAAAACTCCCAAAAAAAGATATATACATTTATAGTATACTAATACACACACAGACACTCTCGAATATTATTTCAGTGAAATTGCCTTAGGTAAAGTTTGTTTTGGCAGCTGTTGTAAATTGAAAGATAATAATCAAGTTGAAAACAAAAGATGGCGGCATTCGAGCAAAGTAAAATAGGGAAATACTGTTACATAAATACTTACCTGCAACATGCTAAACGTAACAGAGTAATATTGAAAATATTGAAAGAAAAAGCTATTATTTACTCATCAGCATCAATGCGATTCTAAGGACATTCAAATTTCTTTCCGTTTTTTTTTTATTTGGCCACCGGAAGGAAATTGAAAGAGTGGTTTTCTTGTCATTTTTTAGGTCGTTTTTCAGCTGCAGGTTGTTGACTAGGTGGCAACGCTAAGTACACGCGCAATCTTTGAAATCAGTTTAGTTGATAGTTAACTTTTTATTTTCATAGACGTTTCGAGATATAGAGCATATATTGCTTACAATATGGAAACTATATGCTATTCACTCCACTCAGTTGAGGTCTAGTCAAAAATAACTAGTCCCTAAGCAGTATTGTATATAGTAGTATTTGAAAATTATTCGATGCTGTTCAGCGGCCAGCTGTTGTTATTTTGCTAGGCAGAGGACCTGAAGCGCGTTTTAAGACAATTTTAAAGTTTTCGCTAACTGTGTGCTCCTCCTTGAACAGCACCACTAAATTGAGCTCGAACTCTGCAAGTATTTACATATATTATATTATAATAGAAACTGTAGAGTAAAAGCTTACCAATTTTAAAGTTCTTGGTTAAAAGAGTGGGACAGGTAAATAAACGCGGGAGCACCATATATATTGGTATTTCCAGTTTGGGTATGACATTGCCATCGGCAATTTGTATAGTCTGCACTTCAGTGGCATCCTTGGAGTAGCCTTCGTCACAACCACAAGTCTCCACACGTACTAGCTGTAATTCAATTGACTTTATCGGTGCCTCAGTATGTTGCACGGTTAAGCTGCCTGTTATAGGAGTCGTGACACACGATTCTAAGCTGTCCAAACGACCAGTAATTAGAAACCTGGGCATCGTTACACGTTCCTTGGCATTGCTCATTGTCAGACTGAATGGCACAGATTTAGTTGCCTCATCACCCAGCGGAACTGGCTTATATTGGATACAGAATTGTTGAACTTTCTGCAACGATTTGCCTAGGAAATTGCGTTTCACATTCACATCGCATTTAAGCTGATAATTGATGCTGATAAAGACGCCGTGATATGTTTCGTATAGTCTTCGTGGTTCCTTCTTGCAAACCAAAGGAAGTTCAAAATGGAATTCGGAATTGCCGGCACTTAGTTTGCCCGGAGCAGAGAGCTCCAAACTATTCTGTAGCAAAGTGATGGGCTTCACCGAGTTGTAGAAGGCATCGAAGAGGCCAACTGTTTTGCTACTTAGCTGTAGATTTACGACGCCGTCCAATGTGAGTAGTATTCCATCGTGCTTGGTTTCAGTCGGACACTGAAACTGCACGCAGCCTACGAGCATCTCCTAGTAAATAAAGTTGAATTAGTTGAATAACATTTTGGTAGTGTTTACCAACGCACATTTTCATAATACACTTTGTTTTCACGTTTGAGCTTGATTTCAAAGTTAAAGGCATTTCCACTCATCTTGAGTAAATGAACTTAAATTAATTAAACGGCATTGATTACAACTTATGACGTTGTTTGTTTACATTCATTGTAAAACTTTTATTGCCAAAGAAAAGGGAATAATAATAAGGCATATATCGATATCGGATACAGGTAATCGATAAGTTCGATAAGCAATGTCAGCGCTGCCATATTTTTCATTTTGCTCCGGCTTATTATTGTTACGCGAGCGCAAGGTGCCTGGAAAGATTCTGCATTGTATTTTTATATTGTTATCAAAGAAATTACCAAAAATGTTGGCTTTACGCAATACACAAAAGCTAAGCCTACGGTATGTGATGTTTTAATGAAATCAACGTATTGAAAAATGTTCATAATCGCATTGGTATTTATAGTGCATTCCTGCCGACTACCAAAAACGTGGGAATTCTCAGCTACTCCAGTTCTTCCCAGTCAAAAAACGATGACGGTTCGTCCTCCTCTGACGATGAGAAACGAACAAAGAAGCAGCGAAAGCCTGAAGAGAAGACTACAGAAACAGCGGCGCAACGATTGAATCGCTTATTGGGCACAATGCAAACGCAAACGGATCAGCTGACTAGCACGGAATTTCCTCGTCCCGGAGATGCGAATCGCAGACGCCGGGAGGCAATAAAACAAGATACTGCAACAAATAATGTTATTACAGCAGCTAAGAATATTGCCAGCATGTTGGGCACAAACGAGAATGAGAAAAAGCAAACAGAATCCGAATTGTTGGCGAAGCTGTTGGGACACAGTCCCGAAGGCGGATCAGATGTACCACAAGGCGACGACAAGAATCCATCAGCAGGAGCTGCCGGTGGAGAGAAAGAGCTGAACTTGAGGTAAAGCTGTTTTCAAAATAGTAGAATTTATACTAAAAACGTTTCGTTTTCAGCGAATTGATTGTGGGCATGAAAATCGATCGTCGGCAACAACCACAGCAGCAGGAGCCCACCCGTGGCGAGTATGTGCGTCGCACCTTGGCATCGCGCTCTAGGTCCTCGGGCGGGGACTTCACTTCACGTCGCCCTCAGCGACATGTTAAACGCGAGGCGGAGACCTTTTCGGGCAGTGTCAATTTGTATGGCGGCGAGCCTTTGGGAATTTTCACTAAAGGCGATGTCAAACTTCAGGAATCGCCAGACATCCTTTCAACATGGTCTATGCTAACCGATCACGAACTGAAACTACATGCAGCACATCCACCGGCAAACTATTTTGAGCAGATGATTCAATGGACGAATCAAGGAAAAGTTTGGCGTTTTCCCATTGACAACGAACAAGATATGAAGGAGGAGGTAAACGTTGACTTCTCGGAGCATATATTTCTGGAGCAGCATTTGGAGGGCTGGTGCCCCAATAAAGGGCCCATTCGTCACTTCATGGAGCTGGTGTGCGTGGGTCTCTCCAAGAATCCCTATGTGACAGCACAAGAGAAAAAGGAACACATTCTCTGGTTCCGCGATTACTTCCAGGCCAAAAAGGACATTTTGAAAGATCTGATTAGCAAGGAGGGCAGCGATAGTGTTAAGAAGATAACAACTTAATTTGGATGGCGTGAAATATTTGTTAAAAATATATATTTATATTTTATTTCGCTTTATAAGACGATATTTTCGAGAAAATGAGTATAATGTATTCGAGTATACATTTGATCTAAATAATACTTAATTTAAGGCCGATTCGCACGCTAATGTGCCCGGGGACTGTGCGCGGAATGTGTGCCATTAATAATGGATATCAATATATTGTGCTTCAGAATAGCAGAATGCGTTTCTCCACCGTTTTGCGACAAATGGGGCATCCTTCAATTTGATCGCCGCACATCTGGCAGGTGCCATGGCCACAGAGAAAGACCATATTCTTAATCCGGTCGAAGCAAACGGGGCACATGGTCTGCAAGCATATATTTTTCATTAATATAATGATAATGAGAATATGTAAGTAATTGACTCACCTGCTCCTTTATGTCTTGTAGCTGTTGCTTCAGCTTTTGCACATCGTCCATTTGGAAATTATTAACAGCGCCTGCAGCAGGTGCGGCCATGCCCGCTGGTAAATTCGAGAGATTTGCAGCTGCTGCCGCATTTAATATGTTGTTCTGGCTATTCAACTGATTGCTGCTGCCAGCCACTGGAGTGACCACCGTGTTATTCATGGCCACGCTATGGCCAGAGGTGTTCACGCACGCCGGCTCCAGAAGCTTCTCCTCGGGCGCGGTCAAGCAGACGGTGCCGGCCACATAGACCTTTTCGACTGGACCCGCACCGCCGCAGCAGTGCGTATATGAAAGCATTTCATCAATTTGGGTGCGGCAGAGGACGCACTTCTTCATCAACGCACTGCAATGCTCACAGGCCACCATGTGGCCGCAAGGACGAAAGAAGACGGCAGCACGTCTGTCCGAGCAGACGACGCACTCGTCGATTTTCTCACGTGAGGTCACAGTCTCGCGGCAGATGAGGCACTTCTTCACACGCGGAGCACAAGTCTCGCAGCAACTCACATGGCCGCAAGGCTTGAACACTGTGTCCCGCTTGGCATCCGAGCAGACCAGGCACTCCTCCACGCTGGTGACCTTGTTGTTGTTGTTGCTGATGCTGCCAACACAGCCACCGCCTGCGGTCGTGTTTTTGCTGCTGCTGCTCTCCACGTGCAACGATTGCGCCATGTCCTGACTGAGTCCGTTCAGCCCGAAGGCACTGCCCGAGGCAACAGTGTTGAGTGGAATATTTGCCGTGGCCGACTGGTGCATACCAGCTACACTTCCAGCTGCCGCAGCGCTTTGGGCACGCGCGCGTGCATTGAGACTCGTGCCAGCCACATTACCCGGCAGCTCGGCATCATCGGTTTTACGCTCGTTGTAGCACTTGAGTAGCGTTTTGCAGAGATTCGGATCTGGACACAGGTCCAGCGGTGTTTGCATTTTTCGATTCTTGAGCGTTAAGTCAGCACCGTTGGCCGCCAGGAAGCAGGCAATCGATGCCGATGCCTTTTTGTTGTTTGCATTGCGAAGACCCATCAGTAGCTTGCCAAAGCCCTCAACATCCTGCAGCTGCTTTAGCTGCGACAGTGTATGATGGCGCAGTGCCTCATGCAGCGGCGTATCGCCATCCTTATCGGCTATATTCAAATCGGCGCCGTCCTGCACCAGCAGCTTAACGATCTGCACATGCTGCCGCTCAACGGCCAAATGCAGCGCCGTCTGCTGGTTCACATTCTGTCTGTCCATATTCGCTTTGCCCATGTGAACCAATAGTTCGGCTATTTCCACATGATTGTTGAGTGCAGCCAAATGTAATGCAGTGTAGCCGTCGTCCTTTTTCTCCTCGACAATCCAGGGACGATTCGTTTTGGTCAATAATATCTTCATGGCGCTGGGATTGCCTTTGAGAGCGGCATGATGCAGCGCATTGAATCCATTGTTGTTGTTCAGCGTGATGTCAGCTCCAAAGTCCAGCAACAGCGACAGCATCTCATCATGCTCCTGCAAAAGGGAAAAGATTTATATGAAAACCCATATACATGCCTATTATAAATATTTCCTTCTACCTTTGATATGGCGTCATGGAGTGGCGTATCGCCTTCGGAGTCCTGCAAGCTGGGATGACAGCCCAGCGTGAGCAGCGTCTTCACCACATTCAGATGCCCCTTATTTACGGCAATGTGCAGTGACGTCTGGCGACGTTTATTACGCGCATTCAGATCCGCTCCAGCTTTAGCCAGAATTTCAATTACGGCTGCTTCGTCGCCAAAGGCCGCATGATGCACTGCCCGATCGCCGTCCTTGTCCTCAATCTCCACATCGACAGAGTGCCTCAGCAGCACTTGAATCACCTCAATGTGACCATTCTGGCTCGCCGCCTGCAACGCCGTGTGACCCGCAAAGACACCGTTCACATTCACCTCCGGGACAGGGCCGCCGCTCGGACTGCCTGCAGCTGCGGCTGCCGCTGCGCTGGACGTCGAAGGCTGTGCTGCACCAGCCAAATACTCCTCACAGCGTGCCTGCAAAAGACAGAGAAATATTAGCATTAGGGACGTTGGGAGTAAAATATACATAGTTAACTTACTGCAAATCCATTGGCTGCTGCCTTGACAAACTCCTCGGTAGCATCGCCGGAGACATTGGGCTCGAAAAGTTTCTTGAGAATCGCAGAGAGGCGTTCGCCGCTGGGTATGATTGGGGCACAGTTGCCATCGGCCGTTGTTGCAACGCCAGTGCCGGCGCCGCTGGTGGAGACCACCTTCGAGACTGCCAGTGGATTGTAGGTCCAAGAGGTGTTGCCCACCTCTACCTTTAGGTCATTATCGTGATACACCTGCTGAACGCGCCCAATTTTGCCTAGGGTCAATTGCATGGCATCGGCCCATTCGCCATGGCCACGCTGCAGTATTTTAATGCTCTCCACATCCGAACAAATCTTGACAATGTCGCCAACTTGGAACTCCGGCGGTGCAGTGGTTGGCGAAGACACCTTAGTCAGCACAGCCGGGTTGAAGGTCCAGCGATTTCCCGAATTGTAGGCAACAACAATGTCGTGATCCTCATCGATGCCCACGACCATGCCCGCATTGCTCAGGCACTCGAACATGCCATCTGTCCAGCCGCCGTGTCCATGCTGCAGCGATTGCACAATCTCCAGATCCAGATCCACAGTGACCTTGTCTCCGATTTGAAAGCCATGTGGCCCCTTGCCAGGCCCATTCTCGCCCAGCAACGGCAAATGATCACGATAAACATTGCTGCCCTTGGCATCGTTGACCACCTTAAGATCCGCCATGCCCTCGAAACCCACGCGATACAGATTCTTTGAGCCATTATCCCAGATCACATAGGCCGCTGAGCGAGGCGATGCCGATGACCAATCCTGAATCTCATTCACCTTCCCACGGCGTCCAACACCGCCATCCTGATCCTCCCACTGCCAGTCGACACCGCGCACCACACGAGCACCTGGAAAGATGCCGCGCACCAGCACCTTCTTGGACTTGCGGCGTGGCTCCACCATGGTACGGTCACCGCCCGGCGTGCTGATCCGATAGAAACGATGACGCAAATGATGCTTGTCGCCATGATAGCAAATGGAGCAGACGTCGTAATTGATGCACTCGGCACACTTCCAGCGTATGCCAAAGATTGGCTGTTGTCTGCAGGTATCGCACATGGTGCCCTCATGCTTGACGCCCGTCGGAGCACTGTCCAATATGCGCAGATCATAGGCGCCGGCACAGCGATAATTGGCGGCCGTGCCATTGTCCCAGACAACGACCACCTCCTCGGCCGACTCAAAGTTGCGCACAGTGCCCACGTGCCCCTCGCCACCATCCTGCAACAAAGTAAAAAGAAAAACAAACAAACATTTACTTTTTCATTCCAATAGCTCGAGCTTACGCCATCCACATTCAATTCGACTCGCTCATCTCGACTCACGCTAATCACAACGCGAAAATTATAATTGAATCGCATTTGCCCGATACCACCCAAAAGGCTGTTCAATGCTCAGCCGTGCACAATCTACTAACTGTTAACTATTAAGGGTGCACTCAGTGCGTTCCACAATCAGTTAAACGATCTTCAAATCACACCCAAAAGCCACCTTATTCCAGGTCAACATCAATTTAATTGAAAACATAACAAATCAACACCAACGACTGATAAGCTATGAATGCGCACCTCAAATGCCCTAACTTAAATGGGTGATACTCGGTTTAAGATCTACTAATATGTATTATATTTTATTTATAATGACATCTATATGTATGTATATTAAAAGTTGAGCAATCAGTTAGGATCCAATGCATGATTTCTCAAAATAAAATATTTATTTCATTTTTTGTTTCACTCTTTATAGTATTTTAATGTACTGTGAATAGTAAATTAAAATAAATGTATAGGTTAATTACTGAACCTTTTTCACTTAAATATTAGTACATAGGCATATAAATATATATACATATGTATAACTAATGCCTTAACAGTTTCCTAGTAAAAAAAAATCAATTCCGGGCCAATTAAAATTGAACTCAATCACGGTGTAAACTTTCCGACAATACCCAAATGGCCTCTGTCTCGCCCCCTCCCATTCTGGAACTTTCTATCTCTTTTCGTCTCTGTGAGTTTGGTTTTCAGCTAGTTACATATGCATAATTCAGGGCCGCATTCATGCAATTAAACATTGTAAGTATGAGCTAAGACACAACTGAACATGTTCCAGTTTAGTGAAGTGCCAATGCTATCTACTAACAGTTGGCTTGATCTTCTGCAGCTATAAATCTCAACACGACTTCTCACAGCTCGCAACTCACCTGTTTGTTCCATTTCCAGTCCGGGCCACGAATTACACGCGCACCAACTCCCTCCATGGAGAAACGTCGAGCGACTGCCGCAGCTGAGCCAGCGCCACTGCCACCGCTGCCACTACCACTGCCACCGTTACCCACACCTGCAGTTACAGTGCTGCCTCCGCTGACTACCACACCCACAGATGTGGCCGAGGATGAAGAACCACTTGCAGCAGCATTTGTTGAATCTTTGGCCGCCGATAAGGTTGCGGCACAAGACATTGTCGTGTGTCTATGTTAGGGCCCTGCAATTATTATTTTTGATTTTCTTCACTTTTTCCTTGGGACACACACACACAAAATGTCATGCAGATTTTAGTGAGTGCAAGCAGCGTTGCCAGCTAACAAGTTTCGCTGCTGGCACACAAACAATTGCATTCCAATGCACACTGAATGTCCAACGCAACACGTAAGCGCTACGCCACGGTAATCAAGAAATGCAAATCATGGATACTTTTAATAAACTGTCTATTTATTAAAAACGCAGCGAATTTTAACGGAATTGCAGATTATAAAAATATAAAAGAAATAGTGTAAAACGATAATTAAAATTGTGACTACTGCCCGACAGTTGCCATCTGAGATTGTAAAGTGCTGCCACCTGACTGAAGAATGTCACACAACATTATTTCACCACTTGCAACATATCATATATATATTCATCGATATTTTCAAAAAAGTAAATAAATAAATATTTTTAATTAAAACATTACATACAAAAACGATTTAAAGCAAGCAATAATAATTAATTTCGCCATTTGTGTCATTTATTAATTATGATTTTCGATATATATTTTCGATAGACTCAGTACAAATATATCGACGACTAATTCGATATATTATTCTGTTGTGTTGCACTCGTCATTCCTAGCACAAAGCCCCTTGCTGCACTAGCATTTGGGTTTTCTGTCCAAAGAAACAAAATTGAATTAAGCGTAAACATTAAAATGTCTAACAGCAATACAGACACGGGTGACACAACCGTAACGACCACAACTAGCGCCACTGTACAAGATTACAATCCGAATGCTGTCGACGGTGAGGTACTGGAACCGCGTGAATCGCTGGTAAATAGTCTTAAGCAAGCATTCAAAGCAATTCTATTCGACTTTGTCTAATCTCTAACCTTAAATCGGTAGATAACCACAGCTGTTAGCTTTTTACAAAACACGAAAGTTCGCCACACATCACTCGTCCAAAAGCAGCAGTTTCTGAGGTCCAAAGGTCTAACTGCGCATGAGATACAATTGGCTTGTGAGCGAGCCGGTGTCTTTACCCAAGATCCAAACAATCCCAATACTGTCATAAATATTGGCTCTCAACTGGCGGTGCAGCCAAAACAAACAGCTCTCGGCCGACTTCGGGAAATTCTGCACACTGCTGCGTTATTTAGCGGATTCGTCTATGCCCTTTACTTATTCTGGCGCGTAAGTAATAGATTATAGTTAATATCGTAACACACTCTAATTGTGCTAAAAATTTTTACAGAAATTCATTGCACCATTTCTATTTGGTAAGCCAAAGAAGAAACCAGTTGAGGAGGCTTTGGCAGATATTGACAAAAAGGTGGAAGTACGCACCGACGCACTTAACAACGAAATCACATTGGTTAAGGACATGATTACGCTGCAACAGAAGGAGCAGACCCAACATATGACTCGCGAATTCAACAATTTTCGCTGTGACTTGGACGCTATTAAGGGGCTATTGCTGAATCGTAAACAATTTCCGGGACCCGTACAGCCCATTTCAGTGCCCTCTATACCTGCCTGGCAGCTGGCTAGTTCGCCTCATCACCATCGCCATAGCAACAATAGCCAGTCGGATGACAATGATAAGCCAGATGATGCTGGCTCTGGTTCCGGGTCGTCCGAAACAGAGGTGGTTACCAAAAACAGTGATTCTAGCTTAGAGATCATGTAATGACTATGAAGAAAAGGCTTTTCATATATAGCCGATGTAGTCTGGCTATATATACATATTGATAGATTTTGTATATGAATTATTTGATGCTTTAGTTGTAACCAGTGTACATTGAATGAATAACACATAGACGGTTTGCAGATTTTTAGTAGTATTCAGGTTTAATTTTCAAAGGCTATTATCCATATCCATAATTGCTACCAAAAGATAAAATACACATAAAAATATATACAATATATATATAATAAAAAGAGGTTTGAATAATTGAAAAAAACTTTAATTATGCAATTTGTTAATCTATGCGACAAGAGCGCCGGGTTTATTAATTAAGAGGGTATTTTTAAAAAAGGCTAACGTATTGAATTCGGTAGAGGGGTGGTGTGTGTTGGGGTTGTTTTTGGAGTGACCGGGTGATAGTTCAGCTTAGTTGATATTGTTAAACTTATAGTTAGAATTCAATTTTTATCCAAAGTTGCCGATTCTTATTATTTTTTATTACTTTTTTGTTTTGTTATTTTTTCTACGTTTCTATTAAATTGGCTAAATTCCCATTAAAATGTATTAGGCATATTCACGATGGCTTCCATTGGCAGCTTTAATGAACATTCCAAGGGCTGATGAGGTTTGGTTTCAAGGTCTACCAATAGATTCTGTTGTGATAAACCCATTTTAGGTATACTATATATTATGTTCATTGTGCGGTGCGTAGCATTTGCTTTTGTTTTGTTTTCTTTTTTATTACAAATTTGGTTCTCTGCACGATCCGTTATATATATGTATATTTATATATATTTTTCAACTACTTATTTTAAAGATTTTTATCGATTTGTACATACGATAAATTAGTTTTGCTTTAAGTTATAATCCTAAATTATACGTTTATAGTCTCACAAAAGATTGTTTGGGGCTTACTCATATATTATATATAAAGTTAAGGTGCAGCACGGAATGAAATATCTGTGCCAGTGCGTGATTTTTATTTCATGTGTATGTGTGTTTGTTTTAGTTGTCGTATTAAAGGGTTTGGAAAACAATTAATTTGTTAAATTACAATCATCAAGAATAAGTGGAGCCCATTCTACCCATACTTTGTATGCATAACTGAACCTTCTGCTTAGTATGTGGGGCCAGCTTGGTCCTTGTTCGGGATCAATTGCAATGATTAACAACAGCCAGGCCGTAGTTAAGTATCAGCTATTTATAATTATTAATTAATAAAAAACATATATACAATTATTCAACTTTAAACTTGTAACCATTAATTTCGAGGGCACTCGGATAAGATAAACATGACTTTCAAGAAACTGGCTTTTCTTTAGATTAGTCAAAAGTCTTAAACAAGTTAAAGTTCCTCGTTTTATACAATTAAAGAATTATGCCTAAAATATAATAGCTAATTCAAAGGAAACACAATAGTGGTACTTAGCCCCATGGTGCACTGTTAGCTTAAAGAATTTAGACGAATAGTTTACAATAATTGGTTTCCTTTTTATCTCTAAACAGCTGAATTGATGACCGCCGTACTACTAATGCTAGTTGTTGGTCCAAATGTCGCTGCAGCCGATGTGCTGGCCGTTGCCGTAATGCTAACAGCAGCCGCTGCTGCTGTGGTGCCACCATCCGGATAACCGCCTGAGGCTGGGGCAGGCGACAACGACATCGTCGACGATGACGGCGATGAGCAGTCGCTTTGGACGCTCATCGTTGGCGAGGCGGCTACCAAATTGCTGCTGCTGCTCGTATTGCTGATGGTCAACGGGAATTGCGATGGTGTTCCCGTCGGAGTGTGCGGCGACAGGGGCGTTAGCACGGAAGACGTTGTGGATACGGGACTGCCGATGCTGTTGGAGCTCGTTGTGATGGCAACGGTCACAGCTGCCGATGTGCTATTAATGTTATTTGCTGTTGTGGGCGTGGCAGGTGTTGGTGTGGCAACAGACGACGAGGCCGTTGATTGCGGCGTTGAAGACGGCGGCGACTGCTGTTGCTGTTGCTGGTGATTGGAATTGCTGCCAGTGGCAGCGGCTGCAGCAGCCGCACGCTCGCGCTCACGATCACGTTGTGGCCGAAAAGCTTCACGCAGTGCCTCAACACGATTCTCATTGGGTCCCCAGCGCGCATAGCCGGCGCTATTCTGCAGCCAAACCACTTGAGTGCCTTGCATGCACTTAATGAGAACCTCAGACCTGTTGGGAGTGCATGAAATAAATATTTATATTTATATATTTTATAATTCGCATACTTTTGCATCATGTGCTGATAGCCATGTCGATATTCGTGCGCCATGCCCAACACAACCATTGAACGGCGCTTGTACATGCTCTCCTCCAGCTTCGATATACTCTTCCACTCAGGCAGAAACACAATGAAGCTGTGAGTGGATTAAGACAAAAGTTTATAAATATACATAAGGAATATTTATTAAAATAAATCAAGCTACCTCAAAGGTTCCATGGAATCGGTAAGCAATTTATCAATATGCAAAAGGCAGGCATCCATAAGTTCCTCGCAATGCGGTGGATTCACTTGGAAGGAACCGGACACAGGCTTAAAGTCCAAAAATGGTCTACAAGAATAAGATTGTTATTAAAATTGAACTACATTAGGCAGAAAACTTTATATGACTTACCCTCTGGAACCGAAGTACGCATCCGTATCCGCAAATGCTGAGCAATATTGCCGAAAATAGGAATTGAATGGCGATGCAAAGCATTCAAAGCTAACACCGAAATGCCTGTGCAGGCACTCAAAGACGGGCACTGGCAGCGCGGCCTGTGTGAGCTCCGCCTCCTGGGATGAATTTAAGGCATTACCCAGAAAGGTCTGGTAGCGTTTAAGCAGACACCACACCCGGCCAATGAACAGATCAAACTTCTTGTCGTCGAAGCAATTGTGACGATAAAGCTGTTCCAGCTTTTGGAGATAGGTGAGGTTGATGTATTGCGCATCCGGCTGATTGATGGTCGCGGGCGTATACTTAATGATCATATGATCACGATCCTGCAGATATTCAATGGCCGGCATACGAGGCGAGGGCACTGCAAACTGTATGGGATAGCACCACACCTTTTTCAGGTGGGGCGGCGGCGGTGGCGGCGTTGGTTCCGGTATGCCATGCTCCTTGAGCAGCTGCAAATGACGTTCCCGTATCTTACGCGCATGCTCCGCTGACAGATGGTAGATCTTAACGCATAATGTCTCCACGGAACTTTTAACCGTCTCCACCAAATGCGGTTCGCATTGGCGCTTCAGATGCGCCAAACGATCCTGGAAATCCTCATAGCTGGCACCCACTGTACGGCGCAGCCATTGAAATGTATCCTCCACATTCCACTTGACAACCTTCTTGGACTCCGCCGGCGCTGAGCGCGACTCGATGATCTGTTTGGCCGCCTCGGCATATCGTGACAGTTGCTTGCGTGCGTCGCCCGTGAACTTGGGCTTGACAATCTTGATGGGTATATCGGCCATAATCTCCCGATACATGGAACTGGAGATTTCAGGCACGCAGTTGCTGGGCAGCAACGGATCGCAGCCGGTGTCTATGACCTTTCGTTCC